TAGAAGCCAACTGGGCTGCCTGTTGAATCTTCTTCACTTACAGTGAGAGGACAACAGCCTTTCACACCTTTACACCAGCGTAACGCAAAATCCTGGTCAATCCAGCCCACTGAAGAATCTCCAACCCCCTGCCAGAGACATCGGTTCCAAGATGAAACTGAAAGTCCAGGCAGTATTTCACAAAACAGACAGCTTGAAAATTCAGGCAATGTTCCCCATCTTGTTGCTTTTACTCACACATTCAACAAGACTACAGCTTATAATATTTGAAGGAGCCCAGTTCATGTGTATCCAGTCATTCAGATTCGCTGGAGGTGTCCCTCATCTCTGTTTTCCACCACTCAGATCAATGTACTCTGAGGAGGTTTTGGGGGGAGAGCTTCCGTTGATATGGCATCCTAGTTGTGGAGGCCCAGCTGATACTGAGATTGTCTTTTAACTGGGCACTAAGTGAAAACCTGGCTGTCCACCCAAGCATTTTTGCAGCTACTGGAATCACTGCATGGTGTCCAGTCCTTTAGTTCACTGCTTTCTGTTTTGTTTGAACTGTTGAGGGAGTTTTAAAGGGCCATAGTTGTGCATTACTTTGCAGTCTCAGTTCTTCTGTATGGATTTTAATACAGACGACTATAGAAAAAGACACAATTATTTCAAATGTGGATTCTTCATAAGAAGCTAAGAATTTCCTGGGTCAAAAGGGCAACCAATGGAGAAATATTAATGTGGATGAATAAAGACCAAGAAATAATTGGGGGGGAAAAACCATAAAAGACAAATAGTTCAACAGTCTGACCAGGTAATGCTAAATGAATGTTACAGATTGCTACAGCAGACAACTCAGAAATAGACTCTAAATTTGGATGAAGCATAACATCCATGTTTAGAGCTGCCTTATCTAAATCATAATAGCTATGATGATGTCTACTGTACTCCTTAGATTCTTTTAAGGTAATTATACTCACTGTACCTTATCTCCAGATCTACTGATACAGGACAAGTTATAAATTTTTAAAAATCAATTAAAACATGAACAGGTTTGCAACACTGTGCATTTTAGAGCTATAGCTGAAAAGCCGTATTGAAAATACTCATATTGTGCACCTCTCCCACCCCCAGATGTTACCATTATACATGAAGAAGAAAACATTTCTATTTGTCTTTACTATGTGAGGACTAACTACTTCAGGATCTGCGTGCCTGATATAATGCCCTAATCCCAGAGTTGGCCGAATCCTGTTCACTTATGTGATTGTATAAGGGTGATCACATAGGCCTCCCTGTGCAGCAGGCTCACCTTCGCGTGACCAGTTTCACGCATAACTGGTTGCACAACAGATTGCATGATGGGCAAATAGCAGGAAGGGGGAAATGATCTTTGCTTTTATGAGAATACAGCTTCTTCCCAATTGGATTTTGAACAATGTTCCATTTTCCCCATCTCCAAAGTAAAAGCTCCCCATCTGGCAAAGTAAAAGCTCTGGATGATAAAGCAAGACTCTGCCAAAGGAGATGGGCAGATGTCCTCCCTCTGTCACTAGCTTATGTTATGGTAGCAAGTCACATACTGTAGAGAGATCTGGTTTTGGCTGCAGACAGTGCATCTTTTTGTGACTCCAAGCTTCTGACATAAACACATAGTCCCATGGTGTTACAATACAAATGAAGGTGCATCCTAGGATTTAACCCCTTGAGTATGTTGGGTTTGTTCTGTCATATATATATAACAATTTGCAGTAGAAGAAATACTACAGAATTTAAAAAAAAAACTTGAGCAAATAATGGAAGCCTGGGATAAGCATTCATACATATCACTTTACTGAAAATCTATACTGCACTTATATATTAGTCATCTAGACAAACAAACAAAAACGGCAGATGAGCATCCGGACAGTTGTTTTAGGAAGGAATGGGTCATCTACCTCTTCAGTATTCTTTCAATTATCATTCAGGTGCATGAAAGAAGAGAGAATGCTGTCAAGGCATCATTATAAATTCCCAGACCTACGTTCCACAGAGTAAACAGCTCTGTGCAAATGGAAATTCACTGTGTTCCTGTACTGCTGTAATGGCTCACCTAAGACAGTTTGTACTAAAATAACCAAGGGCATGCTATATTTGTTACAGGAACATAAATATTCTCTTGATGTATGCAGGATTGTGAAGAGCTACTGGTGTCCCTTTCTAATAACATCAGAAAGCTGCAACTTCTAGAGAAATAAAAGAATTTTTCTACCATGCTGATATCTTCTATTTGGAAAATAAGAGCAATCAAGATCAAATGCAAGTGTATTCATTGGACAGCTTAGGATATAGCATTAGCTTTAAAAATGCTGTGGGAAGAGGTTGTAGGCCAAGCTATCCATTGCTTCTTTCACCCAGAGGTCCTGACTATCTGATTCACACTTACAACACTGGCTTTAAAGTCCGTCACTGTGGCTTATAAGATCCCTTTTTCACCCCTGGGTCAAAAATCAGTTTGTAACTATTTATTTCCCTCTGATTCCTTGCCTGTGGTTGTGAACTTACACCATCAACTACTACTCTGTCGTTCTGATCTGTAAGAGGAAACTTTTTGCTGTGCCTCACTGTATTTTGAGCATCATTTTTTAAAATTGTCAGAGCTATTTCTCTCATTACTGTTACGTACGTACAACTATGTGATGCAGTGCTTTCCTTCTTCTCAGTCTCAGGCCCAAATCCAAGTGTTAACTGCAGCTAGACCCACTGAATCACAGGAGCTTACTAAATGTTCATTCACCAAGTTCTCATTGATTCAATGGGTTTACTCCAGTTGAGACAAACATGAATAGGCTATCATCTTTCCCTGGGTATTAATGTGCTTCCCCCCCCCATGCTATGTACAGCAGTCAAGTAATGCTGTTTTATTTACAAAACAGACTGCCAAGTGAGTATTTCAGTGTGAAATATGCTTTAGGCTTTCACAGCACTGTAACACATTGGCCTTTATGATCTAAATTCCATGTGTAATTACTACTGATCCCATCATTCATGGCATTCATGGAATTTGGAACTCTTACCTTAAATACAGATTACTTTTGAGCTACTTTGTATAACTGACTATATGGCATTGAATAGCCTGTTCTGCTAAGCAGGATTATGTTTCTTCATTGTTGCCTCTTCCGTAAATAATGCAATACAGAATTCTCAAACTGCACTATGACTGTGTTCTCAGGTGCTATAATGTTATGCAACTGAGAATATAAACTATTGAATGTACATTATCTCATGCGATTCAGTCTTCTCAAATATATTGCTATGCTGGGGTATTATAACAGCATAAGTATCATCATTCCCCAATGCAGACTAAATGTGTGTGCTGACAGTTTTCAAGATACAATGCCACATCTTTAGTTCCACAGCATATTTATTTATTTGTTTGTTTGTTTGTTTGTTTATATTCCTACCCCGCCCATCTAGACCAAAGGTCTACTCTATGCTATGCATAGCATGTATAGTATTGTTAATACTTTATGGTTATTGTTTTCTATGCTCAAGATTTGTATCCCAGATGGGAATATTATGCAAGTGAAATTCTGAATTATAGGATCTACAAAAGATAAGGAAAGTATAGTCCTCTAGATTTTTTTTCAAAAAAAATCATCTCCCATCCTTACTGAATATTTAGCATTTGTTAATGGACCAGATGGGAACTGGAGACCAATAATATCTAGATAGCCTCATGTTCCCCACTCCTGCTCCATAATGTGAAGCTACAAATATAGGATAATAAAAACTTCTGAAGTATTCATTCTCTGGTATTACAATTGAGAAGTTGAAGAATGGCAAAGCCTTTTTAGAAGACCATAATTTTCCATCATATGATCAGCATTTCACTATACATGGAAATACACAGAATAACAGTACATTCCAAATTACAAAAGCTGATTGGACCCAGTGGGTCATTCCACTAATAAAACACTTTTGTGTGTTCACAGAAGGTTCCGGGAAGGAAACAGAAAAACAATGTTCACCAATTCTTCCTTTTTCCCTTCAGAAGTTCACATGTCTCCAAAACTGCATCAGGAGTTCCACGGCCTAGCTCCTCAAAGCAAGATATTTTGATTCATACACTTATCACTCATTTTCTTGTACTGACTTGAAAACCTAATGTTATACATGCTGATGTGGAATACATTTTACCTACAACTGAGTGTTACAAATGCTCCACCCTTAATTTGTAAGAGCAGCTATGTTTCCCAAGACCCTCAATGGGTTATCAAAAGAAACTAGAATTTCAGTGATGCAGGGTCCTTTGTCTACTAAGATTCACAGGATAAATACAGGGTATTTCATCTTTTGAGATGTGTCAGTCAAGCTCTCTGCTAAACGAACTTTCAAAACACAGATGAAAGATGACTTTTCATATTGAAAAATCAAAGTGACAGCATTGACATATAAGCTTCTATGCAGTCTTATGAATATAAGTTCATATTGTGTATCAGGCATTTAAGGGGAAGCTAACACATAAAGTGTCCAAAGGCATTAAGGAGGATCAATTTCTCCATGTCATCAAACTATGACACAGAGTATGGTGGAGTGTTTCAGGTATCCAAAGATAATTCAGATCTACAGAGACATAACATGGATTGAAAATAAAAGTCTTGCTGAAGAACTGTAAAAGTAATACCAAAAATAAGGCCTCTGGGGGAATATCTTTACTAGTATAATAAAGGTAATTAAACAGAACATCTTCAGTGATGATTTTAATGCATTCCTCTAAAAGTATAGTTAAATTAAAACACCACAATAACATATCCAACACATATCTTTTGACTTATGACACCGTACAAGCTGTAACAGTACCTATATTTGTCTCGCTTTGCTCAAGATTGTTCAAAATTGTCCCCTTGGCAACATTCTTCTGGCTGTTGGGCATAGCAGAAAAACAAAGAAACAAAGCCCTTATAGGAGCCCTACTTTATGAAGGAAAGCCTTCACTTCAGACTCTCATAGAAAAAGGAAATATTTGTATTGCTTACCTTCTGTTGGCGACGTCTTCAAGTGTCTGCACAGGCCCTCGGTATCCCCATATGTCTCTTTAATTTTAACAACTGCTTCCATTCCTCGAAGTTCCATGAGGGAGCGCAGCTCCTCAAGTGTGCACCCAAATTCTCCTGCATGGTTGGCCTCATTTCTTTGGTTCTTTGAATAAAAATCACTATTTGTCATGTCACCCATTGTTGCTGATAATATTGCTCCACTCTGTGTGCTATATACAACTTTAAAATTTGCAAGTGTGGAGATTCACGTTCCAGCCTAAGCGGTAGAATGAATCCACTTTATGCTTCTGAGAATAACCGTTGAGAAAGCAACAAATAAATAGCTGGTGTGCTTTTAACCAGGTGGTCGGTTTTTAAGGTTGCAGGCCAGTTCCACCCCATTCACTGTTTTCCATTATGCTGCATCCACGCAGTTGTCATCTACATGGTCATCTTCTCCTTCACACCTTAAGAAACAAATGCAAGACACACATTAGAAGACGGAGTAGGATAAGCTGAAACAGCTCCTCTTTCACACCACCCCCCTCAAATATGGCTTGAATACACAAGCCCTGATATAGAAGGTACTCAAAGTATGTTACAGAATTATAGCTCTAGCTGTCTCCACAGATTGTCACAGAACCAGCCGTGTCACCCACAAGACTGCTTCCAGCTCCAGTAGCAATTGAAGCAATCCTTACTTTAATCAAGTCCCAAGAGCACCAGCTAAATGAGATGGCTCATGAATATTAATAAGCAAGCCATTAGTCCAACAGCCTAGATGTGCTTCTCATAGGGGCTCTTGTTCAGACTGCTCTATCAATCTTTCATCTGATAAGATGCAAATAATACACCTCATAAAGACTACGAAGTAATAAAAATTAATTGGCTAGTATTACTGGTCCTTTGAAACATTACAGAAACTGTTTTCATGAGGAAAAAAAACAAAGAAGGACAATATTCTTAAAAAAATTATTTTCAGTTTTGAATACCTTTAAAGAAATTAAACATTGTCGTGTCAACAGGCTGTGAAAATAAACACAACCTCAAGGAGGAAGATGAAAATATCCAAGTGCTCTAAACTAAACAGCAAGTCCTCCATGTCATAGAAGTAGGAAAAGTTGCTCTCCTTCAGCACCACCTGTTATCTGACTCACCAGCACACTTGATACCTTAAGCATGAGAGCTGAGTGTCTCTTTGCAAACTCCAAACGAGCAAACATAACTCATTCTATGAGACTTATAATGTGCAATATTCAGGCGCGTACATGATCTATGAGAAGCAACAGTTAAAATCTGTTTGTTGGGGAAATAGTGGTGAGCTATATACAAATATGCTGAAACCAGCCATTATACCTTGTCCCTGAAAGTTTATCTATGATTTGTTTTACATGAAGTGGGTAAAAGCTAATATATAGTTTTATAAGCCCATAAACCTTTGCTGCTTTGCACACTAAAAATAGGCCTTTAGAATGTTAATATGTCTTCTGGATAATGAGTGTTAAGTCATGCTCAGATAGTTATTAATGCATTCATTATACAATGCATCGAAGGATACTGGAAAGCCACAAGAAACCAACTGATTTCTTGGCCCAAAGCAATGACTTTCTGGGGACAAACTACCAAGTGAACAGGAAGTCTGTTGACTTCTGTGTGCGCACAGATGGTTCATTAGTTTATCAGTTATTCTGCTTAATTTGGGATCCAGATATTGATCCAGATATTTAAAAAAATTTCTGCTTGCACTACCTCATACATTTCACAACAAAGGTGTCATGCTTCATTAGTATAGAGTATGTTTTTTGCACACAGAAGTGCCAAGTTCAGTCTTCAGATAAGACTAGGATATCATCCATGATTAAATCCTAGAAAGCTACTGCCAGTCAGTACTAACAATGCTGGCCGATATGAACCAAGGGTCTGACTCACTGCAAGACTGCTTCCCATGTTAAAATGTTCTTAAGCATATTTTGTCTTCGAGTCCTCATAACATGACTAATGGAGTGGGAAGGATAAAGACTTGAAATAACTAGGTGTATAAAGACTGGGCTGCATTTGATGTGGGGAAACCATGATGCTACATTTTTTAAAACTGCAAAACGGACCCATGGGACTTCTAATTTGCCTTGCAAAATAATGTTTAACACTCCCTTCTCTTGACATTTCTCCAGCCTTAATTGCCTTTCCCAATCAAAGCTGTTATATGCTTCAGATTGAAAATATGTAGGTACTACAGGCGGGGTTTAAGAATTGATTTAGATTGGCAAAGAAGACTAGGAAGGGGATTAAAAACCCCTCTGCCAACATAGATTCCCAATCAAATTCACAGCTCCAAACAGAGGTTTTGGAGTGACAGAGAAACCCCTGAGAAGGTCCTTATCACTGTTCTCCTTTACTGCATCTCTTTTTTCCCTTAATATTTACAGTTCCACTGGGATTCTTTGTCATGAAAATGTTAAGTTGCAGTGCTGAAAGAGATCACAAAAAACCATCTAAGCATGAGAGCTCCAGCATCTCAGGATAACCTGAGATATTCGTTCCAGCATTAAACACCCAAGAACACACTTGAACATTCATTAGATTTGATATACTGCAAATTTTTTTATAAGGCTGACTCTAGTTTCAGAAATATTTTTGACCTGACAGACACATGAGAAAGTGTGTGGTGCCTCTTTGTTTGAAGAACTGGGGTGTGATATCCAATTCACAGCTGCCTTAGCTGTCACTTTAAAACAACAGGCCTAATGTAGTGTACATCTTGCCTGACTTACCCCTAAGAAAGATGTGTCTGGCAAAATCAATCTTGCCAAGTACTTTTGGATTTTAAATCTAAGAGTAACTTTCCTGGCTGCCATGAACTTTTAAAGATGCGGTTATTGTGGGTTTTTCGGGCTCTTTGGCCGTGTTCTGAAGGTTGTTCTTCCTGATGTTTCGCCAGTCTCTGTGGCCAGGGTCTTCAGAGGACAGCACTCTGAAGATGCTGGCCACAGAGCACAGAGTGCTATCCTCTGAAGATGTCGGCCACAGAGACTGGCGAAACATCAGGAAGAACAACCTTCAGAACACGGCCAAAGAGCCCAAAAAACCCACAACAACCATTAGATCCCGGCCCTGAAAGCCTTCACGAATACTTTTAAAGATGTAATTTTTAAAACTTCAAAACAGACACACGAGACTTCTAATTTGCCTTGCAAAATCCATCTTGCCATGAACTTTTAAAGTTTAGATTCTTTCACCTGATGGATGGTCCTGATCCATGAAAACATGCAGATCATAGGATACTTTTTAAAATGGTCTATAAAGCCTACTCTTGCATTTCTACGTTTCATTTTATTACAGAACACAGCAGCGACTTTAGATGCTTCCTTCATTAGCACTTTACTTTGAATTGGAAACATCCACCTACACAGCAGAATTCAAGGAACCATAGGAGTAGCTCTACTTCACACATGTTTTGGTTTACTCTGCAGAAATATCTAGTGCAAAAGTGGGGCACTGCTATGCTGTGGAACTTCCAGTTGAGATGTAAGGCCTCACCAGCCACTTGAGTAAATATCCCACTTGCTACTGACATTCTCAAATAAAGGAGTCAAAGTACATTCCACTTTTCTTGATTTTTTAAAATTAGATACTGACATATACTTGTACACCTTCAGGATGACAATTTGTTCCAGACCTCATAAATACTGTAATACCATGTCATTTTTGTCAGCCAACATTAGTCAGTGATGCTGTTTTCTCACAATAACTAAATAATTTGCCTGTTTAATATTTTATCTGACCTTCAATTAAATATAAACCACCAAAAGAACGATGGGAAGACAAAAACCTCAGCTCATCTGCTTGAGGAACTACATATCTCCTAATAATGCTTATGCCGTGGTTGGGATTCGCTTAATAGCATAACCCCCAGGGAAATAACATCTCTTGTGTTTTTGGAAGGCAGACTGGTAAAATGCAGAAAGCATAAAGCATGACTAGCATTATTCACTGATAAAGCAGCTTTATAATCTCATGGAACAAGATATGCAACTTTCATTCGATCCTGAAATCTCTTTTATGCAAAGTCCAGGAACACTGCCAAAGCACCTAGCAATTTGGCGTGACGGAAACAAATACTATTCTCAGACTTGCTCAGGGATTAGTGTAACTGCTTGATAAAAGGACAGAAATCTAAAAGAAGGAACAAGAAGATAGCAAGACTTCACACACTGCAGGCAATAAGGTACTTGAATACATAGGCTTTAAAGTGTGTGTGTGTGTGTGTGTGTGTGTGTGTGTGTGTGTGTGTGTGTGTGTGTGTGTGTGTGTGTGTGTGTGTGTGTGTGTGTGTTGTCAAGTCAATTCTGATTTATGGTAACCCTTTCCAGGGTTTTCTAGGTAGAAATACAGTACTCAGGAATGGCTTACGGTTCCTTTCTTCTGGAGAAACTTTGGGACTGCAGCTCACCCAAGGCCAGACAGTCTGGCTCGTCTGGGATGCACACTGGGAACTGAACTCCCAGTCTCTGACTCCACAGCCAGACACCTAACTCACTGAGCTATTCAGCCAGCTCTCCTTTAATTTGTGTTCAAAAGGGTCCAATTGGAATTTTTCACTGGCTATGTGGGGCATGAAACCTCACCATATTCTTTAAAAGTCTGTGAGTGGGTGGATGATGGGATGGAGCTGGGTCCAACCTTGGCATCTTCCACAATTCCCCCTTGGAGAATGTCCACAGGGATGGAATGACCACTTGGGAAAATGTATGGCCCACTTATGTGGGGCTCTACCCATTGCAGATCGAGACCCCAAGAACAGTGGCAACAGATATCCTGCCCATGTTGGAGGCAGAGGCGGTACTAGAGAGGGAGAAGATTCCGGACCTTCAAGAGTTGGAGAGGAGGGCCAAGATGATCCTTGCTCAGGGAGGATGAGGAAGTAACTGAAGCAGAAGAAGGCATGGGAGATGCAGAGGTGTGGAGTAATGCTTTGGAATAGGCTGTCAATAGGTGTCAATACCTCCTATTTGGCTGTGTAGCATTCTCTTATCTCTTTCCCAGCACACAGTCCATGACTGTGGTAAGGTCCAGGGACAAGAGGTGCTAGAGACCCACACAGTGCTAAAGCATCTTTTACTTTGGATCTGCCATGAATAGCCATGTAAAACTGATGTGCGAAAAGCTTCACTGACCTCAATGAATTCTACTTTGGAGTTTCTACAATAGCAGCTTGACATATTTGTAGGATGGGATCCAAAGAACTATTTCTGTGTGGATTTTATTTTTGATTTATTTTGCATGCATGTGCTTGTCAGGGAATAATAAAGTGCTTTAAAAGTGAGAAACAAAGCTACCTCACTCATATGCTTGCTCGGGAAGGCGGGAGATGCATACGCAGCTCAGACTGAGATACTCAGGACCCGGCAGGCTTGCTCAGGAACCAGCCCCTTATCCATCTTTCTTCCTGACTACTTCACTTAGAAGG